CCCGTACACGCCCCTGGTATACCGGAACGTACCCTGGTACTATATAATATGCCGCACTGTACCTCGCCTACTCCACTAATGAGTCTAGGGAGTCACCTACGCCTACTCTCTAACTCTAACCCTAACCCTAACCCTAACCCTAATCCTAACCCTAACCATATCAAATAGTGCCCAGGATACATTCCGGTATACCGGATCGTACCCAGGGTACGTTCCGGCAGTACCCTGGGGGACATAGACCCTATGAGCACTAGGCCTAGTACTAAATGTATGTGCTCCTGCACGAGCGGTAGGGTAGATCAGAACCAGGAGGAGCTGTGTATATTTTTTACCGTGAATATACGTACCTACGTCATATAGCTACCTTTAGCTCTACCAGGTACTTAGTTATGGTACTTCTGTCACCCACAACTAGTTCAATGGGTCAACATTATTCATAGCTAGATCTATATGTCACCCAAATTTTTCATCGCAATCCTAACCTAACCATAACCCTAATCCAATGCTAACCTCATGCAGCATGTGGGTGCGTGCGTGCGTGTGTGTGTAATGCAGAACTTTGATCTTCGAAATAGTGTACGTGTGGCTATACGATATAGTAAATCTATGTGCTATATGGGTATATATTGTACAGTGTTTTACTGCATGCACCTTCATACTATTTTGCCGGATCCTATGCTGGTTTTTTAAGTGCATCACATACTGCCACAGACCTGCTGTTATCACATTCATGATTTCATATACTTAAATGCTAAACTTTAATTTAATCTGTAATTTGTTTCACCCCACCCCTATTTCCACATTATCTAATACTTTTTGTTATCCTACATCTATAGATCCTATCAGGAGCGTATAATGACAAAGGAGTAAGACAACGATTTGGTACTGATTTCACTACTTTTTGTCATACGAGTTCGATGTGAATAAATATAGAAATGTATACAAACATGAGCTTCTTTTGTTCACTGGTCCTTATTCTATCTTCCGGTAGTATTACAAACAGCGTAGCTTCCTTCGTTTTGACATAATTTGTACTTTTCGACGACATGGTTTTCACGTTAGTTACCGTATTCTGGCGAGGCCACACTCTAAATTTGCACACACAGCTCTTCAATGAGCCACGGCAGGGATCGCGTCAGGCAGCGCCAGCGGCAACTGTACGCGGCTAGAGATAACGGTTGCTATGCAATTAGTGCAAAACACATGTGCGAAAAGCTACAATCGGCTGGAGCGTCAGTTTACTCATAACGATTCATACACATCATTCCTCCGCGGGTGAAGTAGTTCAGATATTTTACTAGCGCAGCGTTTATTTTTAAAGAAACTGCGGGATTAAACGATAAAAACAAGGCATTCTAACTATAGCTTAAATGTAAAATAGTTTTAATTTTTAAACCCAGCATGGGTGCAACGTAACTTAATTTCTAGGCGAATTTTCTGCACTCGACTAGGCTACGGCCGAAAAGCCCTACCGTGGCTCATTGAAGAGCTGTGTGTGCAAATTTAGAGTGTGGCATCGCCAGAATACGGTAACTAACGTTTATTATATTATTATTACTATATGGGTATTGTACAGTGTTTTACTGCATGCACCGTCATACTATTTTGCCGGATCCTATGCTGGTTTTTCAAGTGCATCACATACTGCCACAGACCTGCTGTTATCACATTCATGATTTCATATACTTAAATGCTAATCTGCTAATGCTAATGCTAATGCTATGCTATGCTGTGCTATGCTATGCTAATACTAATGCTAATGCTAATCTGTAATTTGTTTCACCCCACCCCTATTTCCACATTATCTAATACTTCAGGTTATCCTGCATCTATAGATCCTATTTAGGTCAGATAGTCTAAATTTAGCTGTAATTGAGAATTGAAAAATAAATGCAACTATAATTAAGTCATTTATTAATTTTAATAACTCTACCCTAAGCCTTTAGCTCTAGTAGCCAGTGCTACATTATAGCAGGGGTTAATAATGACAAATATTGTCATTAACAATTTTGTTAATTTGACAATATTGTAATCAACAATTAATAATTATGACAAAACTTGTCATTATTAACCCCTAATTTTGTCATTATTAACCCATGATAGTAATATACGGGGTGTAAACAGCTTGCAGATGCACTGGAGCAGAAGTATCGAGAGAGACTCGAGGCTCTGGAGGGACTGCGTGCGTCTGTCGTGCAGTCGTACAGGGAGGATGAGGCAGGGAGAAGCGCCTTCCATATCGTACCTGACTGCTGCAACCTGAACTCTGACCTGTACGAGGAGGACGTGCGATTTAAGTCGAAGGTCAGCTCGTCGAATATCTATTACATGCCCCTGGAGAGGGTATTATAGTGAAACTCCCTCTCTCCGAATGACATCTTCTGCTTTCTGGAATTTTACGCCCATTTTCTGGAGTCTTACCTCGATTTTCGTGATAGGGTATTAACATTCTCCTCAAATGAATCTCTAAATTTGATTCCTGCTTGTTAAGAGTTTTAATTCTGCTCTCTGGAGAAAGTAATTAACCTCCCCCCACTAAATGAATCTCCGAATTCGACCTCCGGTTTCGGAAGCTTGAGACGGGCAGTATAATTGGCTCTCAGCACTGATTCAGTGTCTTGTGTTGCAGGTCAACACCCAGGCAATGTGCATGTCGCAGTCGGCGGTGGCGCCGGACCCGGGTCACATGAAGCGACTTCATGACACGGTGCTGGATCGCATGCGCGCAAACCTGCAGAATGTTCCCTCACTGAAGTGGCAGTACTATGGTGACGAGAATGGGGTGATCACGACCTTCCCCTCTGTGGCGAAGAAGGATTGCCACAAGTATGATCCGAGATTCAGGTACGTGTGGACATCCTACCAGGAGTGTATAATTTACCTCAATTAAGAAAGTAAAATCGGATTACTTGAATTTACATAGCCTAACAAGAAGCGAAGTTATAAATGCAGGAAAGAGTTTTGGTATTATGGTGTCACATTACTAGCCTTACACATTCGATTCTAGAGAAACTAGTAGAGAGTATCATCCTATGTGCCAACAGCATTATATCAGTGTATTATGAACAGCATATTAATTAAGGTATTTCCATGCACCTATATGTAACATAGCCTGCTCCACATATAAAAATCAAGCCCAAATTAGTTGTGAAAGGTTTTCTAAACACAGCACCTGAGCACACACCTTATCGGAAGGGCTCAGTGTTCCAAGTACGGTCTTTCCAGCCAGTTTTGCCAGCTGCATAACCGTTGTCCCGCGATGCTTAGACTTCATTGAACTAGAACTGTCAATAACAACCACCACATCTTTGGATGATGGAGCGAGTGCAGACACGTACCATGGCCTGTAAAGAACAGATGTGCCAACTAGAGTCATATGATATCATATACGTGCTCTGTATGCAAACTGCTAATCATTGCACCTCGAAAATGTGATACTTCTATAGAAAAAAGCATTGGCTGTCAAGGATGAGAAGCAGTTTAAAATTTCGACTCCTACACAGCCGAGCTGCCACAGTAATGCCAATTGCACTGCATGCAGGTGCGTATATTAAGATCAGAAGTGCATAATATAGATATTGTGACACATAAATTATCCTGGCAGCCCGTATTCTTGCATATGTTTTCATTAAACACAGGAGCTAGCATAAAATAATGCCCCGATATTGTGTAAAACATCAAGAAAGGTAGAGAGAGAGAGCATCAATGAGATATAACTCAATTAACTACGTGCACATACGAGCTGGTGCCACTGATCTCTACTATACTAACGTTAGTATAGTAGTATAGTACGTTAGTATAGTAGAGATCAGTGGCTGGTGCTCATCGTCTCTCTGGGTTAGTGTGTGCACGTACGTTCACATATTAATTGCCGGAGGAGTAAACAAAGAATACATGAGCTCACACGGGATATTGCAGGCGATGTAAATCAAATTGAGACATGACGGTAACACTGCATAGGTGTATATCGTGTACATTATTTCTGTCATTATGTTTCGTTCGGTTGCAGGTGAGTGTAGTGGCATTTGGCACCAATGCCAATAAACCTCCGGGCAATACAGAGGCCAGCACCTGCTTCAACAGACAGCTGGCGTCTGCGTCGCCTAGCAACATTAAGTATCTCGACTCGTACATCGATGGACTGAACGCATACGGTTCCACTTTTTACCGAAAAGCCTTGCGAGCAGCGTTTGGTCTTCTGAAGAAAACACCAACGACGTCTCAGCGTGGTATGCAGCACTTATGTACACCATAGTGACCTGCCATGGTGACAAACCTACTTGTGTACCCGCCTGTTCGATTAGTCACTCTATCAGATTTTTAAACAAGCAGGTGGTTCGCCCGGCCTTAAAATAGCGAAATAATGAAAATACCTCAATAATAATATCGAATTCAGACGCAGAATAATCGAAGCTAATGATTTCTGATGTGAGCATTATTACGAACATTGCTTGTGCTGTATTTTTCAGACAAGGTTATCTTGTTCTTGACTGATGGCATTCCTTCCGATAGTCCAGTGGAAATAATGGAATCCATCAAAGGACTAAACAAGGAACTCAACAACACTGTAATGATTGTCACGTACGGGTTAGGAGAGGCAGGTATAGCTAACAGTTACATTGCGTCACAGCTTACTAGCAGTGCCGGATTAACCATTAAGCAGACTAAGCACGTGCTTAGGGCACCAGGGCCAAAGGGGGCACCACAACGTTTGAAAAAGGGTAAAAAGAAAAAAAAACGAATAAAGATTTGTACTTCCCAGGGGTACCACTTGGGGCCCCCAACAATACAATACAATACAAGGGGCCCCTAATGCCACCAAACAAGGTACTCATTCCCAATTATCAGAAAGTGATAGGTACTCAAAGACTTGTCAGACACTCATTAATGCTTATCCAGATGACATGAACAACACTTTGTCTACAGAGCTTCAGCAGTTCCATTCATATGTTCTTCATAAGTTTAAAACAACCAAGAAAACATCTTTCACTCACATGGAACTTTACAATACAATTACAGAAGACAAACTAGAGAGTGCTTTTCCAAATGTTGAAATTGCCTTAAGAATATTTTTAACATTAATGGTCACCAACTGCACAACAGAGAGGTCTTTCTCACAATTGAAACGTGTAAAAAAAACACAAATAGATTGACTCGTAGTCAGAATGAAGGTGTACATGCATTTACGCTCAAAATTGCCTCAAATACCATCTCCTGCGATCTACATTTTAAAAAATTTCTGGGGGAGAACCCCCATACCCCCGCCTATTTATCACCATCCTCCTTGAAATCCTACATAAATTTTTGCACTGCTGCAACCTGCAATGTATATTTGGTCAGACAGGTCAACAACTAAAATGGACTGGGTCAGTGTGGAAAGCAGGGGGGCACCAAGATTGGTCAGTGCTTAGGGCATCGGTGAGCCTTAATCCGCCCCTGCTTACTAGGCATGCCTGCGTGCATGCATGTATCTCTATTAATTAATGTCTAGTTATACTGTTTACTATAGCGTTGTAAGCTCTTGTCTCTGAACACTCAAGTAAACACGTCTGCTTCTGTTTATCACACAGGCTCAAAGACCCCGTATGTTTTATTACCACCCTCACGTGTTTCATATACAATAGTGTCATAGATCACGTGTTCGTAAACGAATACAAAAAGTAAAGCATAATATATTAACTATACTACATTCCTCCTCTACTTGGATTAAAAATTATATTTGTCTGCGTCAACTTTAGACTCATTTCAGTATCTGTATATTATAGACACATCGGCTAAACTGGACTTCGAATGAAAACCTTTATGCGTTAACCAAACTTGTTCATCAGTTAAACATTTGAAAACCAGTAATCTCTACACTAGTAGTAAGTCACAATATAAAACACATTTCTTTAAACAAACAG